AAGAAAATGAGAATAGCTTCTATTAGGAAAGAAAGAAAATGGATATGGCCTCTGTTAGTCGAATTATAGAAAACGGAAAAGGCTTCTGTTGGTCGAGTTATAAAAAATGGAAAAGGCTTTGTGTTGGTTGAATTATAGAAAACGGGGGAGACTTGTGTTGGAGAAAGAAAGAAAATGGGAAAGCCTTCTGTTCGTTGGTGTAGAAAACGTGGGTGGTTTGATCGAGTTATAGAAAATGGGTAAGAGAGAGAAGGGGAGAGAAAGAGGGAGAGAGAAAGAGAGGAAGAGAGAGATGGAAAGAGAGAGAGAGAGAGAGAGAGAGAGAGAGAGAGAAAGGGGAAAAAAAGGGGGTTTCGTTCATTGGTGTAGAAAACGTAGGAGGTTTAGTCGAGTTATAGAAAACGGGGGAGGCTTGTGTTGGTGAAAGAAAGAAAATGGGAAAGGCTTCTATTAGTTGAATTATAGAAAACGGGAAAGGCTTCTGTTGGTCGACTTATAGAAAACGGGGGAGGCTTGTGTTGGTCGAATTATAGAAAACGGGAAAGGCTTTAATTGGTGAAAGAAAGAAAATGGGAAAGCCTTCTGTTCGTTGGTGTAGAAAACGTAGGGAGGCTTGTGTTGGTCGACTTATAGAAAACGGGGGGGGCTTGTGTTTATAAAAGAAAACGTGGTAGTTTGTTCCTAATATAGAAAATGGGGAAGAGAGAGAGGGAGAGAGAAAGAGAGGAAGAGAGAGATGGAAAGAGAGAGAGAGAGAGAAAAAAATAAAATAAAGGAAAAATAAAGGGGTTTTGTTCATTGGTATAGAAAACGTAGGAGGTTTGGTCAAGTTATAGAAAACGGGAAGACTTTTGTTGGTCGAATTATAGAAAATGGGAAAGGCTTCAGTCTTTAACATAGAAAATGGGGTAAATTTGGTCTTTAACATAGAAAACGGGTTAAATTTGGTCTTTAAAATAGAAAATGGGAAAGGCTTCTGTCTTTCACATAGAAAACGGGGTAAATCAAGTCTTTAACATAGAAAACGGGAAAATTTGGTATTTAACATAGAAAACGGGGTAAATTTCGTCTTAAACATAGAAAATGGGTTAAATTTGGTCTTTCACATAGAAAACGGGTTAAATTTGATCTTTAGCATAGCAAATGGGGTAATTTTTGTCTGGAGCATAGAAAACAGGAAAATTTGGTCTAAACCATAGAAAACGGGAAAATTTGCTCTTTAACATAGAAAATGGGAAAATTTGGTCTAAAACATAGAAAACGGGAAAATTTGGTATTTAACATAGAAAACGGGTTAAATTTGGTATGTAACATAGAAAACGGGGAAATTTGATCATAAACATAGAAAACGAAAATTTTGCCTTAAATGTAGAAAACGGGAAATTTGGTCTTAAACATAGAAAATGGGGAAAATTTGGTTTTAACATAGAAAACGGGGTAAATTTCGTCTTAAACATAGAAAACGAGTTAAATTTGGTCTTTCACATAGAAAACGGGAAAATTTGGTCTTTAACATAGAAAACGGGGTAATTTTGGTCTAATACATAGAAAACGGGAAAATCTGGTCTAAAACATAGAAAACGGGGTAATTTTGGTCTAAGATATAGAAAACGGGGAAAATTTGGTCTTTACCATAGAAAACGGGGAAATTTGGTCTTAAACATAGGAAACGGGTTAAATTTGGTCTTAAACATAGAAAACGGGTTAAATTTGGTATTTAACATAGAAAACGTGGTAATTTTGGTCTAAGACATAGAAAACGGGGTAAATTTGGTCTTTGACATAGAAAACGGGAAAATTTGGTCTTAAACATAGGAAACGGGTTAAATATGGTCTTAAACATAGAAAACGGGGTAATTTTGGTCTAAGACATAGAAAATGGGGTAAATTTGGTCTTTAACATAGAAAACGGAACAGAAAAACTGGAGAAAATCTCAGAGAGAGAGAGAGAGAGAGAAAGAGAGAGAGAAAGAGAGAGAGAGAGAGAAAGGAAGGGAAAGAGAAAGACAGAGAAAGAGAGACAGAGAGAAAGAGAGAGACAGAGAGAGAAAGAAAGAGAGAGAGAAAGACAGAGACAGAGAAACAAAGGAAGACAGAGAAAGAGAAACAGAAAAAAAGAGAAAGACAGAGACAGAGAAACAGAGAAACAGAGAAACAGAGAAACAGAGAAACAGAGAAATAGAGAAACAGAGAAACAGAGAAACAGAGAAACAGAGAAAGACAGAAACAGAGAAACAAAGAAACAGAGAAACAAAGAAACAGAGAAAGACAGAAACAGAGAAAGAGAGAAACAGAGAAACAGAGAAACAGAGAAAAAGAGAAACAGAGAAAGAAAGAAACAGAGAAAGAGAGAAAGAGAGAAAGAGAGAAACAGAGAAAGAGAGAAAGACAGAAACAGAGAAACAGAGAAACAAAGAAACAGAGAAACAGAGAAACAGAGAAACAGAGAAATAGAGAAACAGAGAAACAGAGAAACAGAGAAATAGAGAAACAGAGAAACAGAGAAAAAGAGAAACAGAGAAAGAGAGAAACAGAGAAACAGAGAAACAGAGAAATAGAGAAACAGAGAAACAGAGAAACAAAGAAACAGAGAAAGAGAGAAACAGAGAAACAGAGAAACAGAGAAACAGAGAAATAGAGAAACAGAGAAACAGAGAAAAAGAGAAACAGAGAAACAGAGAAACAGAGAAACAGAGAAACAGAGAAAAAGAGAAACAGAGAAACAGAGAAACAGAGAAACAGAGAAACAGAGAAAAAGAGAAACAGAGAAACAGAGAAACAGAGAAACAGAGAAACAGAGAAAAAGAGAAACAGAGAAACAGAGAAACAGAGAAATGGAGAAACAGAGAAACAGAGAAACAGAGAAAAAGAGAAACAGAGAAACAGAGAAACAGAGAAACAGAGAAACGGAGAAACAGAGAAACAGAGAAAGACAGAAACAGAGAAACAGAGAAACAGAGAAACAGAGAAAAAGAGAAACAGAGAAACAGAGAAACAGAGAAACGGAGAAACAGAGAAACAGAGAAAGACAGAAACAGAGAAACAGAGAAACAGAGAAACAAAGAAACAGAGAAAGACAGAAACAGAGAAACAGAGAAAGACAGAAACAGAGAAAGAGAGAAACAGAGAAACAGAGAAACAGAGAAACAGAGAAAGACAGAAACAGAGAAACAGAGAAAGACAGAAACAGAGAAACAGAGAAACAGAGAAACAGAGAAACAGAGAAACAGAGAAACAGAGAAACAGAAACAAAGAAAGAGAGAAACAAAGAAACAGAGAAAAAGAGAAACAGAGAAAGAGAGAAACAGAGAAAGAGAGAAAGAGAGAAACAAAGAAACAGAGAAACAGAGAAACAGAGAAACAAAGAAACAGAGAAACAGAGAAACAGAGAAACAGAGAAACAGAGAAACAGAGAAACAGAGAAAGACAGAAACAAAGAAACAGAGAAACAGAGAAACAGAGAAAGACAGAAACAGAGAAACAGAGAAACAGAGAAACAAAGAAACAAAGAAACAGAGAAACAGAGAAACAGAGAAACAGAGAAACAGAGAAACAGAGAAAGACAGAAACAGAGAAACAGAGAAACAGAGAAACAGAGAAACAGAGAAACAGAGAAACAGAGAAAGAGAGAAAGAAAGAAACAGAGAAAGACAGAAACAGAGAAACAGAGAAACAGAGAAAGACAGAAACAGAGAAACAGAGAAACAGAGAAACAGAGAAACAGAGAAACAGAGAAACAAAGAAACAGAGAAACAGAGAAACAGAGAAACAGAGAAACAGAGAAAGAGAGAAAGAAAGAAACAGAGAAAGACAGAAACAGAGAAACAGAGAAACAGAGAAACAAAGAAACAGAGAAACAGAGAAACAGAGAAACAGAGAAACAGAGAAACAGAGAAACAAAGAAACAGAGAAACAAAGAAACAGAGAAAGAGAGAAACAGAGAAAGACAGAAACAGAGAAACAGAGAAACAGAGAAACAGAGAAACAGAGAAAGACAGAAAGAGAGAAACAGAGAAAAAGAGAAACAGAGAAAGAGAGAAAGAGAGAAACAGAGAAACAAAGAAACAGAGAAACAGAGAAACAGAGAAACAGAGAAACAGAGAAACAGAGAAACAGAGAAAGACAGAAAGAGAGAAAGAGAGAAACAGAGAAACAGAGAAACAGAGAAAGACAGAAAGAGAGAAAGAGAG